TATATTGTGTCTTGCTAGGCATAATACTAATGATATTTTCCTGTCTAGTCTATGTGGCTTTTCTGCAAATTCCAGGAAGGGGTACTTAACCCAAACAATAGCACTACACTTAAAATTGATCCTAACCTACCTCGACCTGTATTACAAATCTAAGATAAGTTTTAACATCAACCCAAAACGTAAAAAAATATTTTCGAAGTTTAGGGAAGTATTCTATTTAAATACAATTCACTTTTGCCTTGATTAATTTCCGAGAAAATAAATACGCGCACTTGGAGTAAATATTCCGAAACGGGCAAAGTCTAAAGTTTAATATGAATATTTGAGTTGCAATCCATCAGCTGCAGCGGCATAACCGCTTAATAGCCACAAACCGCCAACAGGCAGCCAGTAGTATAGAACTGTGCAATGATTTACCGTACTAACAACACAGGTATTAGCTAAAAACCCAGACACGCGTGTTTTGCCGATCCTATGCCGCTGCCTGACGCAGCTGCGAGGGATTCGGCACGTCCGTGTGTCCCCAGCTTTCGGGTGTATGAACTCCAATTACAACTTGCCTTGTTCAATTTCCGAGGAATTTTTTGCGTGAACTTGGAGTAACACCTTCGAAACGATAAATAATCGCACAGTAGTATACTACTGGCTGCCTTTTGAAGGTTTGAAATACTATGCGGTTATTCCGCTGTAGTTGAAGGATTTCAACTCAAATAATTATATCGAACTTTGGACCGTGCCTGTAAAAGCCCGTTTCGAAAGATAACTCCAAGTTCGCGCAGTAGTTTCCTCGGAAATTAAACACGGCAAGTTGTAATTGGAGTTCATACACCAGAAAACACATGACGAAAGCTGAAGGACCCACTGAGCTGTCGACCCTCTCGAAGCTGCGCCAGGCAGCGGCATAGGATCGGCGAAACATGCGTACCTAGGCTTTGAGCAAATATCTGTGCTGTTAGTATGGTAAATCATTGCACAAGTCACCTTTTTGTTTGAGCTAACTTCGCCCTTAAATAGGGTTTTATTTAAAAACTCAACGTCAAATGCGCCCAATTTTATCAGCGTGTAATAAAAAACTCATCAAAACACGAATTTACTGCAATATATTGGGCCTACACTACGACACATAAATCGATACAAATGAAACGATTGAACTTTGGACGTTCAACCTTCTAAAACACGATGTGCAGTAATCATGGGATGATAGTAGACGTGGGTGTGAGTCGCATTCCGAAGATCATTGACATATTTACCCAATGATAAACCATCTAGACAAGGGAGTCAAGAAGAATCGACACAGGATATAATTACAACACTGTAATTTCCATTCCCGACTGACTCACCGTCAACCGTGGGTTGAATGGCTCTTCAAGCAATTTACAATAGGCTGTCTAAGTTAGAAAATTTCAACCGAGTTTTCGTTTCGAAAAGATTAAGTAAGTAGGGTTGTAAAAATAATAACCTTGCATCATAAATCTATACTAATTCAATTATCTCAGGATGCCGGCTTTTGCAAGAAGTTCCTTCCGGCTCCCTGCAGAAACCAAATTCTGTAAAAAAAGGCTGCGTTATTAACATGCATTTTTTTCATTGATTTTAAATGTCCGTAAGAATTCAATTATATTCTATAGAAAACATCCATAAGACATCCGTTTGTTCTTTTCATACGGTAGGGAATTAAGTCCGCTTTTAATCTTATCCTCTAAGGAAGGCCATAATTCGGTTTAAAAAAAACAATTTCTAATCCTCGAATGATTTTGGACTATGGCCTGACTTTGGACCTGCATTCAGGGTTCCCAAACTACTGGCCGTACATATTCAGGTACGGGAAACCAAGCATTTCTTTGAGGCATTAAGAGGAGACCATATGTGGTTCATTAAATTTAGCCGTGAATTTAAGCCATGATGTTAACATTATGAACCACATTGGTAAATGCAGAAACATGACGTTTTAGGAATAGCCTTTTTACGATAGCAAAATAATCTCTCAAGTAGAAACTTTTGAAATCCGAATTATACCCTTCCTTCGAGTTTAAAATTAGATAAAGACATAATTTTTTACCGAACGAACAGCAGAATTGATACTTGTACGCATGTTTTCTATGAAACATAACTGGATATTTAAGGGAGTTGAAAATTAAGGATGATTGGTTTTACAACTCCGACTTAATTAATTTTTTCGAAACGAAAATGCATTTCGAAATTTGTGTTGACATTTCACGAGTTAACCTACCCACTGCAAATACTGCGGTTTTGAAATAGAACTTTCAGTTTTAGCCTCATTGCGTTATATCCGTAACTGAGAATAAATGCGCTACTGTGATGTTCTTTGATCTATCTGTATCGTAATTGGTTACTTGACGCGTTTTCCGGACTCCGAATACACATATACGCATTTAACCCATGTTTGCGGCCATCCTGCTATCGATAACGTTCATACGGATTATTTGTAACACTCAATCAGCGGCAAAAAAGCTGGCCCATAATAAAGGGAACCACATTTAACTCCAATATCTGCATAGCGTGTGGCCCCGTCCGCATTTAAACATTACCCGATTTCCTTTGAGTCAATTACATTTCAACAGTACCGTCTCTTTTTATGTTATTTACTTTGTTCAAAATTTTCGTATAGGAATTCTACACTTCGTGACCTTACAGAAGCTCATTTTGTAAGTTGTCAACTCTAGTAAACTCCATGTCAACAGAGTCAAGAACCGAGCTGAGGAAGCCTCTAATTCATGGGGGTCAAGCTCTCCACAGAGCCCTCTGATGGGAGGTATTGTTGATAGATCCCAGTGTGCAAATATTCACGATGCCTTAACAGGATCCGCGGACGAACTTCACGGGGACATAAATACCAATATGGCAGCCCCTTCCTCTTCTCCAGTCCACTTCGACGAGGCAATAGGGCCAGCCAACGACGTCCAAATCGCAGAAAACAGAGGTTTGCTTAACAAGGACCACTGTGTCATAATTCAGGGCCTCGCTTAGTCCTCCGCCAGTTCCCCCAGGGAACGAATCGCTGCTGACTTAGAGCAATTCCAGAAACTCCTCAATGAGATGCTGCAACCAACAGAAGATGTCACAGTCCTAAAGGCGTTTCGTCTTGGTAGCCGTACAACCGCCGCTCCGAAGACGCGACCACGACCCTTAAAAATCGTCCTTGGTAGCAATGAGCAGGCGAAACTAATACTTTCCAGGCGTTTTCGATTGAAGCATTCGCATAAAGGAGTGTTTTTTCAGCCGGACTACTCACCTGCCGAGAGAATGAAACGCCGCGAACTTGTCCTAGAATTGAGAACACGGCAAACCAACGGAGAAAAAAACTTGACAATCTACAAAGACCGGATTGTCAAACGACTTTCCGCTCCCCTCTGGATCAAGCCGATCCGAATGACTGCACAGCTACCCCAGTAGCCCGTGTCGGGTTTGAAAACAAATCTCGCATGAACTCGAAACTCATATTCATGTATACCAACGCGCAAAGTGTACTTTCTAAACTGGACGAACTCCGTATCCATACCTACGACCTCCATCCAGATGTTATCTCAATAACAGAAACATGGTTGTCCGAACAGGTTGATGATAGAGAGCTCATGCTCCCTGGATTTCAACTGTTCCGCCGAGACAGAGAAAACAGAAGGGGTGGAGGCATAGTAACATTTGTTAAGAACGGCTTGCACGTTTTAGAAAAAACTGCCCAACTGACTTGTAGTTCCGAAGCATTATGGCTGACCATAAGGCCACCGGGCTCTCAAAGTCTCGATATCTTGACAGTATATCGCCCCCCGAAAAATGACCCTGACGCTGATGCCCAACTGCTGGAGGAGCTCAGATTATTTTCAACGCGGCCGACCACTCTTATCGTTGGAGATTTTAATGCACCTCACATCGACTGGAGCTAGGCTTCAGCCGACTGCTCTGAAGCAGCATTTGACCAGCAGCTACTGCGTACCTCCGACAACCTGCTTCTCACCCAACACGTAATGTTTCCAACGAGAGTTCGAGAGGGCCAACAGATGAACTGCCTCGATCTTGTGTTCACCAAGTCGTCTGACAACATCGACGTTGTGAATTGCCTCGCCCCGTTGGGTCAGAGTGACCATGTAGTTCTCATGTGGGAATACACGTTATTCTCCCTTCCTACACAACCGCTCGATTCCCGACCTAATATTTGGCGCGGCGATTTCGAAAAGATGAAAAAGGATCTTAGTCCTATAGACTGGGCATCCACTCTCTCCGACGATGTCGAAGAGGCTTGGTGTCAGTTCAAAGAGTTAGTCCACAACCTCATCTCCAACCACTGTCCAATCATGCGCAAAAGACTAACAAATAGACCTCGCTGGTTGACTCTGACCTTAAAGAAGGAAGTTAACAAGAAGAGGAAGCTATGGAAAAGATCGCTGACTGATCGCACGCCAGAATCCCTAAGCAGTTATAAGTTACAGAGAAATCGGGTCAAAATTCTCATCGCCAGAGATAGGAAAGCTTTTGAAAAGAATCTGTTGAACCGTGCCATGATTAATCCAAAAATCCTTTACAGCTACATAAGACAGAGCACACGGAAGAAAGATCCTGTTCCACTGCTGCGAACGGCTGAGGGTGTGGAAATCTACGATGACAAGGATAAGGCTGAACATCTCTCTCAGTTCTTCCGGTAAGTCGTGACAAGTGAACCTGCTTTTTCCTCACCCACTTATGAAGACGATGGAACGCCTACCCTCGAAGCCGTCTTCTTCACCGGAACAATTGTTCGGAATGAGTTACTAAACTTAAAAGAATCGACCTCCCCAGGCCCTGATGCAATCCCAGCCAAGCTGCTGAAGGAACTAGCTTCCGAAATGTCCAAGCCGTTAGCCTTGATCTTTCAAACGTCATTTGTTACGGGATGCCTGCCCTCTGACTGGAAGTCCGCTACCATCATTCCACTTTTTAAGGGTGGAAGTAGTGCGTCTGCGAATAACTACAGGCCAGTGATTCTTACCTCCATCTGTTGCAAAATCATGGAGAAGATCATTAAGAAGGCCTTGGTGCAGTTCCTCGAGCAGCACCATCTCCTTTCTGATGCCCAACATGACTTTCGAAGTGGTAGGTCCTGCCTCACGAATCTGCTCTTTACGCTCGAACGCTGGACCAAAGCACGTGATGAAGGCAAGGTGGTGCACGTCATCTACATCGACTTCAAAAAGGCTTTCGACAGCGTTCCTCATCAGCGTCTCTTGTACAAACTGCGCAACGCTGGAATTCGTGGACGCCTTCTTGTATGGATCCAGAGCTTTTTGGCTGGACGGTCCCAGAGAGTGCAGGTCGGGCGTCAACAGTCCTCTGATGTAAGAGTGGTGAATGGCGTCCCACAGGGCTCAGTCTTAGGTCCCACGTTATTCCTCGTTTTCGTAAATGACTGCGTCAAGGACCTAGACTGTGATGCCATCCTGTTTGCCGACGACATAAAATTGTGGAAAGTTATTCACGATGCGGCAGACGCAGACCACCTGAGAGCAAACTTGAACAGGCTCGAAGACTGGTCGAAGCGCTGGCTTATGCCATTCAATATAAGCAAGTGTAACTTTCTTCAACTCGGCGGCTTTAGAGCCCCCAGCCGCAGGACCTACTTTCTAAACGGCACATCACTGCAACAGGTTGACAGTCAGAAGGACCTGGGTGTATGGATTACATCTTCACTCAAACCAACACTGCACTGCGCGAAGGCGGCTAAATCGGCTACGGCTACATTGCAACTCATTAGGCGAGCATTTATAGGATTTGACCCTGACTGCTTTTCCAAAATATTTGGCACCTTCGTGCGACCTCATCTAGAATACGCCATACAGACGTGGAGACCCTGGACTGCCAAGGATTATACCGTCTTGGAGAAGGTCCAGAGACGGGCGACCAAAATGACACAAGGTGTGGGAGCACTGCCCTATGAAACCAGACTGTCAATCCTCAACCTGTTTCCCCTTTCCTACAGGCAATTACGTGGTGACCTTATATTAACATTTCGCATCATCAACGGCCTAGACTGTTGTTTAGATCCCACTGATTATTTCACCCAAGCTAACACACTCAATTTGCGCGGTCATCCCCTAAAACTACGCGCAGGGAAATCAAGAACCAATGAACGAAAGTCCTTTTTCAGTAACAGAGTGGTTGCAGCCTGGAATGCCCTACCTACCGATGTTGTAACCTCCTCCTGTGTGAACTCCTTCAAGTGTAGACTTGAACTGCATCAAGCTTCCCAATTACCACCCCTACATCCACTCACATAACCCGGTACCATTTTATATGTCTTTATACTACTTGTAATTAGTAAGTAACCATTAATGATTACTCTTTTTCGGCTAGCTGCCAGCTGTCCGCGAGTATGTACAAAATCCCTTTTTCAACTTCCCATTTATCAATGTTTTTCTCCGACGACTTGTAACCAAGAGGGAATTCAAAGGCGCTTGCCTATATTTCCCTTAATAAACTGATACTGATACTGATACTGAATTGTGTACAGACAAGAACTTTTAAGCGCGCAATCGAATTACGATGTAAGGCATCACGCCTCATGCAACTGGAATAGACGTGCGTAGTCCATTAAACATTTTTCAAAACCACAAGCATTCCTCAACAATATATTTTCAGATATTCTTTTTGATTTTGTGATGTGAATCTAAGTGTGTTTCATCAGTCAATAGGTAGTCGATTTTGAAAAATACCATGCGAAATTATATGCGTTAGCAGGTTTATCTTCTGGAGAGGGTATTTAGAAACTAATTAACTCTCTCGCACCTCTTCATCGTTTGCCGACAAAGTCTGACTGGTAAGAAAAGAACAGCTCGTCGAATTACGCAATTGGGTATTCAATCTATAGGAGTCTAAAAATAAGAATGCCTAGTAGTTCAGGCAAAAATGAAGTTATTGGTGGCACTTTCTTTTTTGCTACATTATGCTGAATGCTGTTTAACAGCATGGGGTAAATTCACATTTTTTTACACTTGCTTACTTTGTCGACTTTTATGTAATGTTGGAGATAGAAGTATGAAAAATGGCAGTGTATTTTAATTTTCTGTGTTTGTAATTTCCGTGTGCTTAGGCATTTACCTTCTTTGCATGAAGAGTTTATTACATGTGTATGATCCCATCATTTCCCACCGAGAAAATTAACCGAGAGTATTTATTTGAATTGTGACGCATAACGTCAATAAAATGAATCCAAACAAATTTCTGCGCAAAGAACACGCCTATTAACTGAATAATCGTTCTTACTCATTAACTGTTCTGCAAAAATCGTCCACGATTTATGTTAATTGTGCGGTCGATAAAGCGCATAGAAGTGGCCAAATTCAGATGCTTACCCATCAAAAGGTAACAGAAATTTGCAAAGAAATGCTAAGATCTGCATGGCGTTTGTACAGGAGGCATTAGGATTTAGATGGTGAACCCAATCCAACAGCCAACCACCTCCAACTAAACAAAGCCTGAAGGACTAACATTTGAACGTTAAGATTTACTGAATGCGTCGTCAGAAATTTATATTGAAAGTTACCTATATGTTAAAAAATAATAACGGTATTTGTTTATTCTCAGATGTACCAAGCTGTCCTCGTTCTAGTGACAGCTCTACTCTCAACGCTGTTGTTGAGTACTTGACTCGGCAAGCTGATTTCCACGGCTTTGAGAAAATACTTGAGAGTAAAAAATGGCGTTTCTACGTCATTGTTAAGATCCACGCTGAGCCCTTATCTTTTGACTGCACATTTCTGCGGGACGAACGGAGGGAAAGTTATTGGCAATACGCATGCTTATCTCCGATCCCTAACGTTGAAGTTCACATACTAAAAGAGGTAAGACAGGGATCATAGCAAGCTTGTTAACTATGTCAGCCAAATGTGAGCAGAATGCTATTTTCGCCATGTCTCCTACTGTTTTTTTTTTATTCCCTGCGCATTTTCAAACCAACAGAGCTTGAAACGGAATAAACTGGAAGACCAAGCAAATAACACAAGATATCTCAAATTCAACTTACGCAGCTTAGCACTGAAAGCAACTGTCAATGTTACTTACTGGAAATTGGATAACAACCTGCCTAATATGATTCAATTGTCCTCGCTTAAGCTCTCCAATGCATACGCAAATGCTTCAGGCAGTACGTATGAACCAGTCAACCCCAATTTATTAAAAATGCTAAATATGCGTGCAAGCGACTTCAGCGTCCATTTATATCAAGAAATGCTGAGTGACCGGTCCATAGTGTGCCAGCAGTAACTATTGGCAGTAAAAAACTGCGCAGTCTACAAAACTGAAAATTATGCAATGAAAATGAACAAACGGGTTTTGCATGTGAATATTGAACTGGCATCTATCACAGGTTTCTTTGCATCAATAAACAGTTTATCGACTTTTCTGCGGAGAACAATACCCCCTAAATCATGTTACTAACAGGTCGGCCACTGCGTTTTGGTTCTACCAAATGATAAGGAAAAATGATTTGGGTAAATAATTGTATTTGATCGGACGACGCACTTCGTAATGCCCTTTAATGCCATGTTAAATAAAATTGGTGTATACGTAGCTTGAAGCAATGATCATTGCCTAAAACCCGGAAATTGAAATTAAGAGAAAGGTACACCCATTGCACAGTTTTCAGCCCATTCGCATTTACACAGGGCTTTGCAAAGATTTAGTTATAAACACGCGGGCACAACCATTTCGCGAGTGTTGCATCCATTGAAGACAATGTTCTGCAGGACGCACCAAATGTGAAATCCCTTTCCGACCGCATACTTTATGTTCAAATTAACAGAGGTTTCTTCTACAGCGAGATGCGCTTATAAAGAAAAAGAGATTGCTTATTGGTAGCTCTGAGTAGCCTTTTGTAAATTTTACGTAGAAAATTCACTTCTTCGAAAACAAGGAGCCTATTTGTATGGGCATGTGACCTGGCTTTTTATCAAAAGTTATCTGTATAAGAGATAGGATCAGAACGTTATGCGATGAGGTTGCCGCAAAATCCAGTTTTCACGCGATAAGATCCGTTAATCTACGATGCCCTGGTATATATCAATATATTTAAAGTTAACTTACGCAAGCATCTGCATTAACATGACCAGAAAACCATGGCTGTCGCAGTCTAGTTTGCGCTGCCGGTTCTCTGACGTCCGGTTCCCTGACTGTTGATGCGCTTACACCTCCGCCTGGTAGACTGGTCGCGATTATGGTTGTCGAGAGATCATCGGCGCCTTGTCGGCCCATTTGGGCGTTTTTTTCAGCTAAAACTTGGTCTGGCTTGTAGATCAGAGGGGAAGTGGTACGTCGAGATGCGGGTTCATCCGAGTCGGTCACATACGCCCCCAGTCCCCTACAGTCTACTAGAGTGTGTATTGAAGCGTCTAACGATTTTAAAGCTGGCCAGTTATGTAGTTTTAACTAATGTTAACTACGTTAAAGATTGGAATTATTGTACTCTCATGCCATGGGCCATGCATGTCATCCTCGCACACATATTTTAGGCTTACTTATACGGTGCGCAAGAAGGTGTGTTAATTCTCTTTGGGTATAAACCTTTACCAACCTCCCCACACATTTTGGCTTTCGTATTATAAATTACTTACACAAATATATTTTGAATTTGACGACCATTTTGTTGAGTCTATCGTCATATAAACCAAATTTTGAAGTGCTTAGCGAGGCCTCACTGAAATGCATCACAGCGTATCTAATGACAATCAGTTTTTAGTGATCGACGCTGGCTCTGCATCAACATTGTGATTGCCAGTGACGCGGGTGCTGTCTTTGTTGGTCGAAGACGCTTAGGATTCCCGAACCTTTCCTCTGGATTTGACTGCAAATATTCAGTTATCTTTGCGATTTGCTGCCATTTTATTTGTACTCTTTCTTCAGTCTGGTCAGTCTTTTGTAAAGCCTCTCAAGTAAGTATTCTGTTCGACCTACTTGTCGGCGAGTTCTCGCAGTGATATAACCGTAGAAGTGGTAGGATAAGTGACCGTATACATCACCTTGAGTTTGTTTCTCTCAATTTTAACGATGAATTACCTAATATGCCTAGGAAAGACAGGCATTTGGCTTTAGGAGCACGTATTGAAGAGAGCCCTTAGATGCAGGCCAACATACTTTGGTTTGAAATATGGGGTTATTATAAGATTTTATAGGGTGTCGAACAGGAGTGACGCATGTCACGTCAATTACAAACTATTTCTAGTTTTTCAGGAAGTTCGTCTGAATCAAAAGTCATTTGCACTTTGCACTAACAACTACTTTTCCGTTTTAAAGTCTTTCGAAATTTTATTTATTTATATAGTATTTGTTCGATTGTTTCGTTCGGAGTAACGATTGCCGGGAAATTATCCGTAAATTGTGGCATCATTCATCGGAAAGTTATCCTACAGTGACAGTGACAGAGTTCGTTTTTATATTATCCTTCAAATTAAAAAGGCAGATATGACTGCAAGTCGAATTGTTAATTTAAAAAGCCACAGGACATATTTTACTGTAGTATGTCCCCCATAGGCGGTGTTCGGCCGTTTTCACGGATAGAAAAATAAAAATTACAATAAGCAATCCATTATTCGGTACAAACCACCACCAGTCAATCAATCACTGTGCTTGGTGTAAACGACAGTAGCTCTTAAAACTCTATTTAAACGGCACACGGCTAAACGAAAACACGTATATTGCAATTATTTTGCATTTATTTTAATGTGCGGGATTCATAAAATTAAAGGTGTGACATGAATTCACAAAAAGTTGCAAAATAACGACAAGACAATTCGTTCACGACTTTAAGATTGCGAAAATTTTCACCTGGGTCAAGACTAATTTCCTTCGAAGAATTTGTTGGCTTAATGCTTGCAGTATGTTGATACTCATTTTAACAATCACTATAGGGGACTTGAACAGGTCGGGTCGCTTCTTAACAAATTATTATTCAGATGCCTTTTGAACACACTGAATTTAAGGGAAATTAACCGCGAACTTTTACAAATAATTCTATTAGCAGATAGCTGTCCGTAAGAAAATAGTGGAACGTAGGTTTTCGAGGCACAATTCCTCTTTAATCTTGCAGTCGAGACATCTGAAATTAGTTTTTAGCGCCAATTTAAAAAGACGTTTTTAGTTAATATCCGAATACACTTCTCTTAGCAACTTGACCGTTGCTATGAGGTCATAGTAGTCCAGCCTGAAGTGCAAGGAATAGGAGTTTGAGGCCGTTGTTGGCAGCTCGTACGTAAGATTTGTGGGTTCATGAGTAGCCTTTGCATCA